GCTTCGCTTGAAGTGTCCCCTGTGCTGGAGGCCATTTTGTTGAAGTGCACAAGGGAGGACAGGGAGGAGCTTTAAAAGAGTCAAAATTCTCCTGGTGGTGTGAGGTTGGAGAGTGTGTTCCCAGTGAGGAGGAGGTAATATTGTTTTATTATTGTACCCACCAAAAATGAAGGGAACCCTGCACTGAGAGAAGTTTAGAGCCCGCCACCCTTAAACTCCTTTCATTTCATGCCATCTGACTCTTGCGCACATAGACGCACTTAAATGCTTCCTTAGTCGTTACCTTAGGGCAAACACATAGCCAGTTAGGACAGAACTCCTGATCTCCAGGTCTGGATGTTCCAGGTCAGTGACTTAGAAAACAGTGAAGCCTTTGGATGGACATGATAGCCAAGGCATGTTCGGGAGAGGCTGGCTTACATATATTGCCTATAGCGGAGAGGCAGCTTCCTTGACGTTGCCTACGGCACCAATGGGTACATGGCCATCCAGTACACTCTACATTTCCCATGACAGCCGGTCAGAACCTCCGTATGGCTCTCACACCCATTACACAAGAGCCATTACTTCAAGGAGACATGGTTGGGGAGATTCAATGAGGCATGATTGGGGGGCAGTTCAAGGAGACATGATTAGGGGGGATTCAAAGAGGCATGATTGAAGGGGGAGTTTAAGGAGACATGATTGGGGGGGATTCAAAGTGACATAATTGGGGGATTCAAGGAAACATGATTGGGGGAGAGTACAAGGAGGTATGATTGAGGGGAGTTCAAGGAGACATGATTGGGGGGATTCAAAGTGACTTAATTGGGGGATTCAAGGAAACATGATTGGGGGATAGTACAAGTAGGCATGATTGAGGTGAGTTCAAGGAGACATGATTGGGGGGATTCAATGAGGTATGATTGGGGGAAATTCAATTAGACATAATTGGGGGATTCAAGGAGGCACAATTTGGGGGGAGTTCAAGGAGACGTGATTGGGGGGGAATCAAGGTGACATAATTGGGGTGATTCAAGGAAACACGATTTGGGGAGAGTACAAGGAGGCACGATTGAGGGGATTCAATGAGGCACGATTGAGGGGAGTTTAAGGAGACACGATTGGGGGGATTCAAGGAGACATGATTGGGGGGGATTCAAGGAGACATGATTGGGGGGATTCAAGGAAGCACGATTTGGGGGGAGTACAAGGAGGCACGAATGGGGGAGTTCAAGAAGACATGAATAGGGGAGTTCGAGGAGATATAATTGGGGGGGATTCAAGGAGACACAATTGGGAGGAGTTCAAGGAGACATAAATGGGGGAGTTTAAGGAACATAATTGGGGGGGATTCAAGGAGGCACAATTGTTGGCAGTTCAAGGAGACACGATTGGGGGGAGTTCGAGACACAAATGGGGTGTTCAAGTAGACATTATAGGAGGGGGATTCAAGAAGGCACGATTGGGGGAGTTCAAGAGACATGAATGGGGGGGTTTAAGGAGACATAATTTGGGGGAGGAGGGTTCAAGGAGGCACCATTGGTCCCTTCTAATTGGATGCAATAATTGTAGGATAGAAAACTACACTACACTATGAGATCTATCTCTCTTGGCTCTTGAAGATTTGGTGTTGAGCAATATGGATACATTGGATTAACATGGGGAGACAATAGAGAAGGAACCCACTGAGATATAAAGCCCCGGTGAACCAAGCGCATTTGACCTTCTTTTAATTAAGGGCCATGGATGGTTGGTGAGTGCAATAATACTAGTACACAATGGTGGAGCTTTGAATGGTTTTGCATGAAGAAATTTATTAAGCACCAGAAGATTTTGTTTGCACTCTATATGGTGTGGGACGTTTTATGCCTATATTGATTGGTCATTTCGAATAATGGTACACCACACGTTTGGTTTATGTGAAGTGCCGGACCTTTCTTTTGTATAGAAAATATCTCGCTGTGTATGATTCTCTCTGCCTGCCATGGATAAGGGCGTTTCCTTTTTCAGATGAGGACCGCAATTTACTGTGTTTCAGGTCCTCGGAGCTGATCAGCCTAGATACGTAGCATGACTTGTGTCCACATATGTCCACATATGTCCATATGTCCACATTCAGGAGTTGCTTCATTTTAAGGGTTCTTATTTTACTATATTGCGGCCCAATTGTGGTGTAATGCAAAGTCTTCGGAACGAGTGGCATGATAAACGATATATCACTGACATATTCTACACAGCTGATAAAATCCCTGCCATATGTCCTTCCCTATATCACCTCACCATTCCATATCCTTGTATCCTCCTGTCCTTTTATTGGCCAGGAGGTTGGTATTTCAAGAAGGGTCAGAACTTATAAAGTGCATGCTAACTCCACAAAGCTTCAATGCCACAGTATATACTGTACAGTGAGGAACAGACGTATTTGAACACCCTGCGATTTTGCAAGTTCTCCCACTTAGAAATCATGGAGGGGTCTGAAATTCACATTGTAGGTGCATTCTCACTCTGAGAGTCAGAATTTAAAAAAAAATTCAGGAAATCACATTGTATGATTTTTAAAGAATTTATTTATCTTGCACTGCTGAACATAAGTATTTGAACACCTGAGAACATCAGTGTTAATATTTGGTACAGAAGCCTTTGTTTGCAATTACAGAGGTCAAACGTTTCCTGTAGCTCTTGACCAGGTTTGCACACACTGCAAGAGGGATTTTGGCCCACTCCTCCACACAGATCTCCTCTAGATCTGTCAGGTTTCGGGGCTGTCGCTGAGCAACACGGAGTTTCAGCTACCTCCAAAGATGTTCTATTGGATTTAGGTCTGGAGACTGGCTAGGCCACTCCAGAACCTTGATATGCTTCTTACGGAGCCACTCCTCGGTTATCCTGGCTGTGTGCTTCGGGTCGTTGGCATGTTGGAAACCCAGCCACGACCCATCGTCAATGCTCTGAGGGAATGAGGTTGTTGCTCAAAATCTCACAATAAATGGTCCCATTCATCCTCTCCTTAATTCAGTGCAGTCGTCCTGTCCCCTTCTCAGAAAAAAGCACCCCCAAAGCATGATGTTACCACCCCCATGCTTCACAGTAGGGATGGTGTTCTTGAGATGCAACTCATCCTTCTTTTTGCTCCAAACACGACAAGTGAAGTTTAGACCAAAAAGTTCTACTTTGGTCTCATCTGACCACATGACTTTCTCTCATGCCTCCTCTGGATCATCCAGATAGTCATTGGCAAACTTCAGACGGGCCTGGACATGTGATGACTTGAGCAGGGGAACCTTCCGTGCAAAGCATGATTTGAAACCATGACGGCGTAGTGTTCTACCGACAGTGACCTTTGAAACTGTGGTCCCAGCTGTCTTCATGTCATTGACCAGCTCCTACCTTGTAGTTCTGGGCTGATTCCTCACCTTTCTTATTATCAGTGATACCCCACTAGGTGAGATCTTGCATTGAGCCCCAGTCCGAAGGAGACTGACAGTCGTCTTTAGCCTCTTCCATTTTCTAACAATTGCTCCAACAGTTGATCTATTTTCACCCAGCTGCTTGGCAATTGCCCCGTAGCCCTTTCCAGCCTTGTGGAGGTCCACAATTTTGTCTCTGGTGTCTTTTGACAGCTCTTTGATCTTGCCCATGGTAGTAGTTGGCGTCTGACTGACTGTGGGGTGGACAGGTATCTTTAAAGAGCTCAGACAGGTGCTACTAAATTAGATTAATGAGTGGAGTAGAGGTGGACTTTTTAAAGGCACAGTAACAGGTCTTTGAGAGCCAGAATTCTTGCTGTTAGGTGTTCAAATACTTATGTTCAGCAGTGCAAGACAAATAAATTCTTTAAAAATCATACAATGTGATTTGCTGAATTTTTTTTTTTTAATTTTGTGTCTCAGAGTGGGAATGTACATACAATGTGAATTTCAGACCCCTCCATGATTTCTAAGTGGGAGAACTTGCAAAATCGCAGGGTGTTCAAATACTTCTGTTGCTCACTGTAGGTCCCTTGACTCGCCCACCTCCTATGGTTATGTTCATTGGGTGAAATGTGTCAGAGGGCGGAATCACATCTTGTGAATGAGAAAATGACTGACCAATCTGTTGAACTGCAACAAGTTTTTTTTGGTGTCAAAGTACACAGCAGAGTGGAGCTTTGTATGTTCGGAGTGCAGAAGGTGGATCCTGGGTACCCATGGCTGGTTACTGGATACGTTTGCCCTGCGCAATTTTCATATATTTGCATTTAGTAACATATGTTTTACGGCTGAATTGGTATTTACTGAAAAAAGCAATTCTTATGATGGAGTGACTGCAGCAAGAAGACTTACCCTAACTGAAGTGCTGGACGCTCCCCACGGGGAAAAGTACCGGTGATGAAGAGTCTGGAGTGTCTTCTATTTCTTCTCCCTCTTTACCTAGTTCCTCTATCTCTCTTCCTCTCTCTCTTCTCTATCTCCTCTCTCTTTTCTTCTTTTCTCTATCTCATTGTTAATCTCTTTCTTCTCAGTCTATCTCCTTTCTCCATCGTTTTATTTTTTTATTTCCATCTCTCAAGCTGCCCTCAAGGAGCAATCTAAGGCCCTTATCCCACGTAGATATCAAGGCCAATTTAGACAGGAACCAGGTATCCATCAGCATGTCTTCAGAGAATCCAGAGGAAATTTACTCAACCACAGAGAGAACATGCAAACTGTGTCTAGATAGTGTCCTGACCGGGATTCAAAGGACTGCAAGGCAGAAGAGATAACCAAAGAGCCACTGTGTTGTCCATTTCTAAGATTGGATCATCTCTGGTGTTTTTTTATTATTAATATTATTATAGATACTGTATCATTTGCTCTAATTCCAAATTTGTTGTTTTACTGGGGTTTTTTTGCTTTCCACTGGATCAACTGTGGGTGTAGGAATTTTAACTTTTTTTTTTTATTATTTAATGGTTGAACTGGATGGACTTTTGTCTTTTTTCAGCCAGACTAACTATGTAACTATGTTTTAGGGAACAGCTAAAAACAGTAAACCATCTGAATGAGGATGGAGAAGGAGAGGATACTAAATCTCACCCTGGAGATCATCTACCTGCTGACTGGAGAGGTGAGGAGTATTCTGGGAGGTCACATGACATCACTCTTCTCTCTATTAATAAAACAAAGACCTGACCGGAGAGGTGAGGAGGATTCTGGGAGGTCACATGACGTCACTATTATCTCTATTAATAAACACAGACCTGACCGGAGAGGTGAGGAGGATTCTGGGAGGTCACATGACATCACTCTTATCTCTACTTCCAATTCTTTAGTTTACATCAGTGGTTCTCAACCTGTGGGTCGCGACCCCTTTGGGGGTCGAATGACCCTTTCACAGGGGTCGCCTAAGAGCATCGGGGAAAACACATATTTCCGATGTGTAATGAGCAGCTACTGTGTAGAAAGCAGCGACTGTGTTGAAAGCAGCAGTATTGGAGGTAAAACGACACTCATGAATTATAATTACTGGGTAAATAATTTTATGGTTGGGGGTCACCACAACATGAGGAACTGTATTAAAGGGTCGCGGCATTAGGAAGGTTGAGAACCACTGGTTTACATGAAGGGATTGCATATATTTTTTTAAACAGTAAAATAATTGTTTTTTTTCCCTTCTCTATACAAAGGACTTTATTGTACTAAAGAAGGCATCTGGTGGTCATGTTACATCCAAAAGCCACACCTATGTGTCCGATGAACATAGGAGGAACAAGAGCCCAATCATGAAGCCCCCACTTCCTTCCCTGATATCTGAGAGTAATAACAATAAGAAGATCCTAGAAGTCACCCAGAAGATCATTGAGCTGCTGACGGCAGAGGTGAGCGGTGCCGGGAATTCTGGGACATTCTCCAGTAACAGACAAGGGATGTGTCTGGATGGTGACTGTATCATTGTGTGTGTCAGGTTCCTATAAGGTGTCAGGATGTCACTGTCTATTTCTCCATGGAGGAGTGGGAGTATATAGAAGGACACAAGGATCTCTACGAGGACGTCATGATGGAGAACTGGCCGCCCCTCACATCACCGGGTAAGAGGAGACTTTCATTTCTTGTATTGAGGATCCACCTAGATACAAACATCCTCTGATATAAAGACATAGAAACAATGGATTCAGTCAGTGTGTGTGTTTCCTACAGATGGATCCAGTAATGGGAACCTACCAGAGAGATGTTCCCGTCCTCTGTATTCCCAGGACTCCACACAGGAACATCCTGAGATCCCTCAGGAGCATCAGGTAGATGGAACCTAGGGTCTAAAATGTAATCAAACTAAAACTATCTTGCTTTGTTATTGTTGTAAATTAATAGGCAGTTAAAACTACAAAAAGTATCAAGAATATTATGTGACTTATTTAGGGTGAAGATCTGATTATTGTAAAAGTTGAAAATGAAGGAGAACCGTATGTGATGGGTGATGAGCTGTGTAAGGAGGAGGAAGGTCCTCCAAAGATCAGCACAGGTGAGTATGAAATGCTAAATCCAGAGAAGAGTCCCGGATCCTCCTTGTTCAGTCACTACAACAATCTCCTCTTCTTCCCCCTCCTCTGTCAGTAGACAGTAATGGGGGGACAGTATGTGCCCAGTGGGGGGTCAGGAGCCATCAGCCTTTAGTAGTCTCCGGCTCTCCTCCTCACATCATGTTATTGAGACGTGACCAGTCTCCCCCCCACACACACTGCCTGGGGTCTCTCATACATCTCAGTACAGGGGGCTTCACTCATCTTTTTTCACAGACCCCGGAGACACCAGAGCCACTCGATGGAACCCTAAAGTCAAGGAGGAGGAAGAAGGACATGTGTGGATTAAAGAGGAGGAGGTTCCTATGGAGATCAGCACAGGTGGGTACTAAACACTATATCCAGAAAAGAGTCCCAGATTCTCCTTGTTCAGTTTAACGTTTCCTAGGTAAAGTACGTAATATGCAACATGGTCATATTCCTTACCGTGGCCCCAAAATAAAGCTTTGTGGCATTTATACGAAAGCTGGCCATACAGGAGGTGAATTTTGTCCAGTTTCTGATGAACTAGGTAATATTCCAGCTGCGGGTGGTCCTGTGTGCACACCACTGTTGGGGCGATCTGACAGCTGTCAGTATGTACTAGTCGGCAAGGGAAGAGTCCTCCTTCCACACTGCTTCACGTGGGCTGAACATGGGAAAGCTAAGAGTGTGTGGCCAGCTTATGTTCAGCAAGAGATGTCTAGAATACTAAGTGTGTCTCTTTTATTATTTATTTTTTAATTCTCACATTTCACTGTTGTCTTTGCCCACAGACCTCGAATGTGCCATATTGACTTGCAGAGATTTCAAAGCCGAGGAGGAGGAAGAAGGGCATGTGAGGATTAAAGAGGAGGAAATTCCTCTAGAGATCAGCACAGGTGAGTTATAACACCTAAATCCAGCAAAGAGTTCCATATTCTGCTTGTCTGGTGACCCTATTAAAGCCCAACTCCAACCAACATTTTTTTCAAGATCAAATGGTGAGAGAGTCCAAGACTCTTTTATAAATCATCCTATGACTACATTAAACAGTCAAAACTTTTCTGGGACCAATACACTCCTTCTTCATCAGGGCTTGGATCTAGCCCAAGATAAGAGCCACTGTAGCTTCTGAGGCCAATACACTATTCTTTCATCAGGGCTTGGATCTAGCCCAACATAAGATCCACTGTAGCTTCTGAGGCCAATACACTATTCTTTTATCAGGGCTTGGATCTAGCCCAAGATAATATGTACTCTAGCTTCTGGGGCCAATACACTCATCCTTCATCAGGGATTAGATCTAGCCCAAGATAAAAACTACTATAGCTTCTGGGGCCAATACACTCATCCTTCATCAGGGCTTGGATCTTGCCCAAGATATGATCTACTGTAGCTTCTGGGACCAATACTCTCCTCATTCTTCAGGGCTTGGATCTAGCCCAAGATATGATCTACTGTAGCTTTTGGGGCCAATACACTCATCCTTCATCAGGGCTTAGATCTAGCCCAAGATACGATCCACTGCAGCTTCTGGGGGCAATACACTCATCCTTCATCAGGGCTAGATCTAGCCCAATAGATGATCTACTGTATCTTCTGGTGCCAATACACTCATCCTTCATCAGGGCTTAAATCTAGCTGAAGATCAGATCTACTATAGCTTCTGGAGCCAATACACTCCTTCTTCATCAGGGCTTGGATCTTGCCCAAGATATGATCTACTGTAGCTTCTGGGGCCAATACACTCCTCTTTGATCTTGCCCAAGATATGATCTACTGTAGCTTCTGAGGCCAATACACTATTCCTTTATCAGGGCTTGGATCTAGCCCAAGATATGATCTACTATAGCTTCTGAGGCCAATACATTCCTCCTTCATCAGGGCTTGGATGTAACCAAAGATATGATCTATTGTAGCTTATCGTTACAAGATGTATGTTTGAGCATTAGCAGTAGCAGCAATAAAAAGTTGGCAAATGTTTTAACCCATGGGGCTGGGGTTGGACTTTAAACATTTATATTCTTTTGCCAAGAGCTGTGTACTACCTGAACTCCAAACGAAAGTGAAAAAGAACTGAAATCTCCCATCTCTTATTTCCTCCAGGTGGTCACTCTCAAACATACAGTACAGTACATGCTGGGATAGAAGATGATGGAATCACCTCCGATTCTTCAGAGGAAAAACCCATCACCCCAAATCGCCATCCAGCACTTGCCAATGCTGACCTGCCATCTGATACCTCTTCGTGTAGGGGTTGGCCTTTTGACCACTCATACTCGGTCATTCATCACATACCCTGCGAAGGGGAGACGTTTCCGTGTTCAGAGTGTAAAAAATGTTTTACTATTAAGTCAAGCCTTTTCCGGCATCGGCAGATAAAACACACGGAGAAGAAACTTTATTCATGTTCTGAATGCGGAAAATGCTACACGTACAAGTCACGTCTTCTCCTGCACGAGAGGGTACACACGGGCGAGCGGCCATATGCTTGCTCTGAATGCGGACGGACATTTGCTAAGAAGTTCACCCTTGATGCACACCACAGGATCCACACAGGCGAGAGGCCGTTCTCATGCTGCGAATGTGGGAAGAGCTTTATACAGAAATCCTCCCTGGTGGAACATCAGAGGACTCACACGGGATTGAAGCCGTACTCCTGCTCGGACTGTGGGAAGTCTTTTAGGCAGAGGTCGGAGCTTCACAAGCACCGCAGGGCTCACACGTGGGTAAAGCCATATTCATGTCAGGATTGTGGGAGGAACTTTTCGCTAGAGACAGCTTTCATGTTCCATCAGAAGGAACACAAGAACAGGAAGCTACATTCGTGTTCGGAGTGCGGGAAATGCTATGCCTACAAAGTAGACCTCGCCAGGCATGAGCAATCTCACACAGGCGAGCGCCCGTTTGCTTGTGATGAGTGTGGAAATTGCTTTGCTAAGAAATCCACCCTCAATGAGCCTTGAGGATTCACACAGGAGTGAAGCCATACACGTGCATCGAGTGTGGCAAGTCCTTTATCCAGAAGTCCTCCCTCGTAGTCCATCAAAGGTCTCACACAGGAGAGAAGCCGTACTCCTGCACAAAATGTGGCAAGTGTTTTCGTCACCGGTCAGATATGCTCAATCATGAGAGAACGCATACGGGGTGAAGGCACCTGCTTGCGTGTAGGAGGTGATTCTTCTCGGAGGACAACTCTTGTTCTCAACCCAAGAAGACACAGTGGCAGGAGGCCACAGGACAGAGGATGGAAAAGTTTTATCAGTAATGCCAACCTCGCTGAGCAAACTCATGCCGTTGGTTGCTTGGATCAGCATGTGTAGGAGAGGCTTACAATTGGCTTAAGAGTCCATGCAAGTGATCATTTATGGTCATTGTTCTAAATGTGGGAAACAAATCCCAAAGAAGTCCTATATAAAAGCCTAACAGTAGGAAAAGATTTATTTTCTTTTTTTTTTCGTCTTTACATCACAGTATTTCCAGCCAAAGCCTTTTTTTGGTTGGGATATGAAAGGATTTTTGCTGCCTGTGGCCTTTGGTGAGGGGATTTTTCTTTACTTCCTGTCTTGGTGACATCATTGTCATCAAAACAGAAAGTAATAGTAAATCCAAAAAAGACAGTCATACAAACATGTTTTTTTAAGTGAAAAGAGTAGGTTAAAGTCTGATTTCTATTACTAATCTAAATAAATACGGTATCTCAAAAATAAGCAATATACCTAAACCCTTAAAGCATGTAAGTCTAACTTTCACCCTTGAAAGTATAATAATAAATAATACCTCAATATGCTCAACCCTACTGACAAATCAAATTTATGATACTAAATAAATAATATCTCCAAAATAATAAATAAATGAATAATAAATGATGGATAAATCAATAAAGTATCCAAAAAATCCCACAGTGATGCACTTGTGTCCAAAATAAAAGTCATACACTAAATAAATTCCAATGATGTAAATCCAAGTCCTCAATGAGGGAACCTTTCAAATGACTCCAAACGTCAAAGTGAACCTCAAAAAAAAAGAAAAAACTAAATAGTGTATTATCCTTAAATAAAATGTGTACAATAATAATCAAAATATTCATATGTGTCACTTCCCATCATACGTGACCCAGTGAACTCAACGTGGTAAACATGATCAAAATATCCAAGTGCTAGTAACAGTGAGGACTAAATACCCTTACCAGATGGCAAAGAAACCACGCTTTAATACCACCAAGGGTATACACCATCCAAGGAAAGCTTTCCCAGCCTGGGTAATTATTCTTTAAGATGTCCTCATAGCCTCATGGATAAAAGCTCCTAGATGTCATCAGGACCTTGAGCAGGAGTACTCAGTAGTACTCAAAGTACCCATGCTTCATCGATACCCATAATATATAGAAAGGACATATAGTGTAATTCCTTATATTGTAAACAAATAACACTTTAATATTGCTCTTACATTTAAAAACAGGTAAAAAAACACACCAAAGCTCCCATAGCCCAAACCTCTGCAGAGTCCCAGCAGCTTCCAGAGACATTTGGATGGGATTTCCACTTTCCAAAATGACCGATCCGCCACTTCCACTTCCTCCGTTTGTGTCTGACGTCACTTCCCTTGA